GGAACAAGTAAACTGTATTACTATGGTTCAAAGTTGTTGATAGGAACTGTCTCAAAAGGATGGTTATTTTAAATATAAATAGCTAATTGGGGTGGTAGGACTATACAATTAAATGCCTTGTATAAAATCCAAAATGAACGCAAAATTGTTTTCACTTGTATTGACTTTATGTTGTATGATTCCAATCTCTGTTCTGTTTGGCACTTGTATTTAATTCTACACCTTTGTAAGACATTTGTATATTGCGGATGTGTTCATTCAAGCTATTTAATACCTGGCACTGTTAATACACAGTACTTTACTGTACAGACTGTTTTACTGTTTTAATTGTAGTTCTGTGTACTTTTTTTGGATGGGGCTAGCATGTTTTATTTGTTTTCTGGCAATACGACATGTGAGAATTTCAAAGCGTTTTGTTGTAGATGCTAACGTGTCAGAATCCTTTACATTCAACTTTTCTAAGAAAAACATTTTCAGTCTTGTAGTGTGTGCTTACAGTAACTGATTTTGTTGAAAATGGTTTCAAGTTATTAAAATTTGTACAGGACTGTAAAGATTTGTTGACAGCAAAACGTTGAAGAAAAAGCTTATAGAATAAAAGCTATAAAGTATATATTAGGATCTGCAAACAATGAAGAATTATGTAATATATTGTACAAATGTAAGCAAAGGCTCTGAAATAAAATGCCATAGTTTGTGAATCCTTGATTCTGTTTCTAAAAGATTAAGTAATTTTAGTTCATTTCTGTATGTGACTGGAACATATATCTCCAGCATGTATTTATCACAAGGGGTTAACTGACATACAAAAAAGGGAATATTCTGCCTCTTAAAACTAAAACTGCATTAACCATTTATAGGATTTATTAGGCATTCCTATATCTTTGCATACATTATTTTGCTTGAGTGTGAACATATGAATACTTATGACTTGGATTTTGTCTAAAGAAGAAAAAGTTAAAACTTTTTCTTTAACACTTGAAACCATTACATTACCAGCAGCTTTGCTTTTTTTGTCTTTTAATTAGACTTTTGTGGATCTCATATTTTCACTCTACCCCATTACACATTGGAATCACCTGGGCATTGTTAAAGCAGTTCTCAGGCCCCACCCTCAAAGAGTTATTTTTAATTGGTCTGAGATGTTGATCTTTTTTGAAAGGTGTCCAGTGACTTCAGTATGCATCTGGGTTGGGAACCAATGCTTTGTACTGCAAACCCATTCAACTCAATAATTAGGGTTTTTTGGTCCCAATTTAGTGAATTTTCCACTAAAAGAAAATCCTTTGTTTAAAATAAAAAGAAATCTTTAAGGCCTAAAGCTCAAATGTGTATTTTTGAAGCACCTGTGGGATCACCCTTTATTTTCATAGAAATTAGTTTTAAGGGATGAATTTTTAAATCTATAGAACATTGCTTTCCAAATGGAGATCTTAGAATAATGGTCCTTGGACCTCCCCGGTGGCGCAGTGGTTGAGCGCTGGGTTGCGAAGCTGCCCGCGGCCTCTGCGGCGCTGGTTTGATTCCCGGCTGCTCCCCGGCCACCGGAGGAGGGTCCCACATGGCGCGCAGACCTCTCCTGCCGCCCGCTGCTCCCCTCAGCAGTGTACTTCGGTCCTTCTGCCTGCTCTGCTCCCCGCTCTGGCTCTGGTGGATTCTCTCACCCTCCCGCGCTTCTGACTGTACCCAGTGCATGTATAGAGACAAACAAACAAACAGATAAATAAATAAATAAATAAAAGAATAATGGTCCCTGGAAATGCTCTGAGAATTTATCAAAATTATTTTGTGTGTGTGTGTGTGTATATATATATATACATATATATATACACACATACACACATAGATATATATGGGGAGAGAGAGCATATAAAAATTGAGTTAGCATATTAAAAATTGAGGTGGTTTGGGAAGAGACATTTGATAACTTTTTTTTGCTTCTTCCGGCTGCCAGGGAAGGAACCGGCTCTGCAGGGGCAACCGCTGCGCCACCGGGGGAGGCCCGGATCAACTTTTTTACAATTTTTAGGCTTACCTTATCATGAAACCTGATTTTTAAACAACTAGTATCACCTGCTTAGAGTGTTACTGAAACACTATTCTTCGGAGGATTCCAAATTTTGTTAAAGTTTATAACCTGATGCCTTTCTCTGCATTCTAGTCTGCCTATTCTCCTTTCTTTCTAACTCCTCTGGAGAATTTGAAACTTTCATGGTATTACAAGAATTTGATCTGTTTTCTCTTGGTCATCTACTAAATTTTATCAATCTAATTTACAACCAATGATAAATTTTTTTTTGAAAGATGTATTTATGCACACACGAACTGGGGTGTAAGCCAGAGGTCGGGGGGTGAGAGGATTCACCAGAGACAGAGTGGGGAGCAGAACAGGCAGACTGACCAAAGTATACTGTTGAGGGGAGCAGCAGGCAAGTGAGAGGTCTGCTGTGCCATGCATCACCTTCCTGGCTGGCCCAGGATTGAGCTGCAGTGTCTGGCAGTAGCTTGTTAACGCTGTCTTTAACCCCTTGTCACCAAGGGAGGCCCCTGGTTATGTTTTTTTTTTTAAGTGTTCTTCAAAACCTTTTTACTCTACTGAAATAACCTGAGTGTGAAGTTTAATCTAGGTAGTCTGGGGGAGGTGAAACAGATTCCATGAAACCTCTAGGATTTTTAATAAAGTTGTTTTGTCTTTTTCTGTGAGATTCTTTATGACTCTTCAAAGGAGTTAGTGATCTTGAAATGGTTAATAATCAGTTCTGAATGGCAGTGGGAATAATTTTTTAACTCCAACTACAGCCTCTTTCAAACATTTTCCTTTAGAAGTGTGTGTTGCCTTTCATTATTTCAAGTCTATTATTTCTACATCTTTGTTCTAATTTTAACCTGCTACTTAGGGATTTTTGGCTTACATAATATAAACATTGGCTTTATGTGTAAGATGTAATACCCTGAAGTAAAGTTTTTGGGTTTCGTTGTGGAAGAAGCATAAGATATAAAATAAAGTGCTAACTGTACCATCAGGGAAAACTATAAGAGTTTAAAGGGTGCAGTATATGAGCATATAAAAATCGTGATGACTAGTGACTGGAGGAGATGCAAACCTTAAAGTAGCATTCAAGGAAAATTAATATGGAATGGAATGTGTTGAGAAGAGGAAGAGTTAGGTAGGCCAGATGTGATGAGAATACAGCACTCCTGATAGGAAATGATTCTTGGAATAATGCTAGGAAGAGCTGGGGAAGGAATGGGTTTGGTGGATTTAGGGAAGGAAAAGGTAGAATTTCTTCAATGGACCATGTGGGATAGATAGAATGCTTGAGTTGCATTAAGCACGGTCAGTTGTATTTTTCTCATCTTTGTGAAACCACTTGAGTATTTTACAGAAAACCAAGATAAGGGACTCAAATCAAAACCAGGTCAACCAACTGAATGTTGTGGACTCAATTTTTCTATTGTGGGCTATGCATGGTCATATTCCCAGTGTGTTCTGTTAAGTAGTTTTCAAAAAGCAAATCGTTTAAAGATACAAAGTCAAATCCTATCTTGCTACCAACGCTGCTGCAGTCAATGATTAATGATAACTAGTATGTATCTTTTATTACCTAAAGTCAATTTACCAAATATTCACCAGTACGAAAACAGACACTACAGAACAAGTCTTACATCTAGAAATTAACACTAATGCAGGTAGGATGGAGGCTTGGGAAAAATTATCTGATTTTAAATACCAGGGAAATTACCATCAGATAGCTTCTGAGCTGGACCTTGAAGGATGGGTACAACTTTGCTGCTGAAAATGAGAAACAAGGGGGCCTCCCCGGTGGCGCAGCGGTTGAGCGCTGGGTTGCAAAGCTGCCCGCGGCCTCTGCGGCGCCGGTTCGATCCCCGGCTGCTCCCAGGCCACCAGAGGAGGGTCCCACATGGCGTGCAGACCTCTCCTGCCGCCCGCTGCTCCCCTCAGCAGTGTACTTCGGTCCTTCTGCCTGCTCTGCTCCCAGCTCTGGCTCTGGTGAATTCTCTCACCCTCCCGCGCTTCTGACTGTACCCAGTGCATGTATAAACAAAAAAAAACAAACAAATAAATAAATAAAAACATGCCTCTATTAAAAAAAAAAAAACTTAAAAAAAAAAAAAAAGAAAAGAAAATGAGAAACAAGGAATACAAAAGACAAGGTGGCCAGAAAAAGTAGGTTAAAAGGTAAAGATTTGGGTGAAGACAAATCTGGGAGGCAGGCTGAAAAAAAGTGCCAAGTATCTCCTTTACCTGGCAAAATAGCCTGGCCAAGCAGGTTAGAGCTGTGGTCCCCAACAACATATTATTTTCAACTTTATTTTTAAGCAATGTCTCTCTGCTCCATGTGCCCCCTCCAGGTCTTCTGGCTCTACATCCTGCTTCCTTCCTTCCTCAGTCTCTTCTGCAGCTTCTTCTCTCCTTGCTCAGCTCCACCCTCAGGTTCCAGCAACTTCCCTGTGGTGGTGATGGGATTTGTCTTTCCCAATGTCCTGATGGCTTTGGTCTGGAGTGGGGGTGGGGTCCACAAAGCCTGTATGGGATTAGCTCAGGACATCCTTTCCCCCAACTCTCTTGCAGCTCTTCCGAAATTTTGTTAGGGGGAAAGGATGTCCTGAGGTAATTCCATACAGGCTTTGTGGACTCCACCCCCACTTCAGACCAAAGCGTTACCCTGTAAGGAGCAGAGAGATAGTCCCTGTCCCTTCACCACTTGCTAGTGATGTTACCTACACCTACCTTGTTACTCGACCTCCTTCCCTGCACTAATCCGGGGGTTTTTGTAGGTGTTTTTCCTCTCTTCTGACTGACACCCCACTCCAGCAGTTTCCTTATTCACGATTCAGGCCTCAACTACTCTGCAAAGACTTCTTTCCCAACACTAGGTCTCGCTCTAACAGAGCAAGGCACAAATGTGCACGAGAATCCCAAGCCCTCCCACCTGACGTCCCTTCTGCCCGCGAAGGCAGCGGCAAAAAAGTCCCGGAGCGGAAGGGGCGTGTTCCTGGAGCGGAAGTGACGGGACCCGGAAGTGCGGCTCGCGTGCTGCCGCTCTCTGTGGCCTGGCCGTAAAAATGCCTTTGGAAAGAGAAAAGAAACAGAAGAAAAGGAGAAGTGCCCAGAAGGGGTGAGTGGCGCGCGGCATATTTACCTAGGCTGGGGGCAAGAAAAAGAAGTGCCCAGGAGGGATGTGGGGGGCGCAGCCTGTTTGCGTGGGCTGGGGGACGAAAAGGAGAGGTGCCCAGGAGGGGTGAGTGGCGCGCGGCACGTTTACCTGGGCAAAGGTGTGCCTTCGGGCTCTCGGGCGGGCGAAGCGGAGGGGCGTGGCGTGGTGTCGTGTCGCTGAGTTTCTGCCATTGGTACCTAGAGAGAACCCGGACGATGGCGTTCGTGGGAGTCAGACAGGAGACTATCTGGTCGGACAAGTCGCCAATAGCTTATTCCACGGCAAGCCCCCCTCCAGCGGCAGCGCAGGTCCACTGGCGTCCCTCTTCGGCTCCTTTGACCCTCAGCTTCAACCCGTGTACGTGCCTGTGCCTAAAGTAAGTCACTGGGTTCTGTTCCGAATGGTCCATTAGAGTAACTTTAAGCAATCTACGGTGCAGGGCATGGCAGGTGGGACAGGTGGGGTTCAATCTAAGTAACTTTAGTTACTGGACATACCAGTGAGAAGAGATGCTAATTTAGAAAAACCACTAAGTTATTAAAAAGGATGAAGTCTCAAAACATAACTTCCAACTTTTAAAAGGAAACCACCAAAAAAAGGAAACAGGATGAGGAGGAGGAAAGTACATCCCAAAATCAAAGACCAATTTTGGAAGAATCTGCCAAAAAAATGAAAGTGAAGAAGAAACTTTCTGTTGCAGACAAAACGTTGGCAAACAGGTTGGTAAAATTGCGTTAGTTGATGTTAGAGATATAAGATGGTAGAGAAATTGGGATTGTTGTACATGTCATAGCTTATTTTTTCTGCTCATTTCAAAGTTCTAATTCAATTTTTTTATTATGGAAAATATACATATTTAAGAGTTGAATAAGGATCTCCATGTTTGCAGCACCAACAATCATTAGTACTCTGCCAGTCTTATTTTATCTTTACCCCATTTATATCCATCTCACTATTTGAATGCAAACTTAAACTTGTTTCGTCTTTAAATATTTCTGCATGTAGGTAAAAGATGCATTCAATTTTCTTAAACTACCTCAGAGATCAAATTTCTCCCATTAACTTGTTTAAATGAACTTCTGTTGCTCTATTGCCTGACAGTTTTCACATATCTTCAAAAGTTTGACTTAATTTTTCCTAACCCTTTAGTTTTTCTGAAGATACTAGTCACTTTTAGATAATGCCACTTTTAAAATTTAGAGATATTTTTGATTGCTAAGCTTATACATACAATAACCAGAAATAGGTGGGAAATTAATCACTATGCTTTGTCAGATTCTCCACCTGACTTCCATGACACTTTTTCTTTCTTTCTTAAAAAGAGAAAATGCTCTAGCAAGTGCAGATTTAGAAGAAGAAGAAGTTCACCAGAAACAAGGGCAGAAAAGGAAAAATTCTCAATCTGGTGTTAAAGTAGCAGATAAAAAAGAACATGATGATGTAGACCACATAGTTGTAAATCAAAGAAAGAAAATTAAAATCAACCAGGAAGAAGAGAGATTAAAGAATGAGAGAACAGTGTTTGTTGGAAATTTGCCTGTCACATGTAATAAAAAGGTGAGTTTGTACTGTATATTGTAAAAATTCAGAGAAATTAATTCATTAGTTTGTTTACTCTTTATTAAATAAGCACATAAAAAGTCATTAATACATAACTTTATTATAAATGACTACTATACAAATTGTTCTACAGACAGATTCTGTATTCCATACCATTCCTTTCCCATAGTCACTGCCCTAATTCAGACTTTTGCAAATTCTTTTGACCTCTTGCTGTGGTCTTCTGTCTGGGTTTTTTCATTCCAGCCACATGCCACCTCTGTATGTGTAGGGATATTTATCTTTTTTCTTCACTGCTCTGTCCTTAGCATCTCAAAATAATACTTAGTGCACAGTAGAAGCTCAATAAATATTAGTTTGTATAAATGAATTAATACAAAAATGTGTAGGGCCTCCCCGGTGGCGCAGCGGTTGAGCGCTGGGTTGCGAAGCTGCCCGCAGCCTCTGCGGCGCCGGTTCGATCCCCGGCTGCTCCCCGGCCACCGGAGGAGGGTCCCACATGGTGCGCAGACCTCTCCTGCCGCCCGCTGCTCCCCTCAGCAGTGTACTTCGGTCCTTCTGCCTGCTCTGCTCCCCGCTCTGGCTCTGGTGAATTCTCTCACCCTCCCGCGCTTCTGACTGTACCCAGTGCATGTATAAACCAAACAAACAAACAAACAAACAAATAAATAAATAAGACATGCCTCTAGAAAATTAAAAAAAAAAAAATGTGCAAATGAATTTTCTTCCATGTGATAATCATACTTTTGGCATTCCTTGGGTCACAATCCTGCCCATCCCTTGAAGGACAATTTAAATTCCACTTCCTTAGACACAAAACAGTACAAAAAATTGCCTGGTTTTTCTCTATCCTTTTTACCCTTTTGTCTCCTAGTATTTTATTTGCGATTATTTTTACAGAACATAATACATTATTTTACTTTGTAGCATAGTTTTGGTTATTGATCTTCCTGTTAGATTATAAGGAGCTCAAAGGAAGGGAGTATGTGTTGTGCTTTGCACATTCAGTAAATTATTTTTGAATTAAAATTGGTTATAGAAATTATTGTCCTAGCTGTCAAACACATTCTTGGCATTCTCCACATTCTAAGCTAGTCTTAAGAAAAACATACAAAATTTACCCTCTAAATTTCAATACGCAATTTTTTTTTTTGAAGATTTCTTTTTTTTTAGATTTATTTATTTATGCATACAAAAGCTGGGGTACAGGCCAGAGATGTGGGGGATGAGAGGATTCACCAGAGACAGAGAGGGGAACAGAACAGGCAGATTGACCAAAGTACACTGCTGGGGGGAGGAGCGGGCGAGTCAGGAGAGGTCTGCTGTGCTATGTGGGTTGCTTCCTGGCTGGCTGGGAATTGAACTCGTGCTGTAGTGGCTGAGGACAGCTTCATAGGTTGCGTTTTAACCCTTGTGCCAACAGGGAGGCCCTAAAGATTTATTTATTTATGCATACAAGAACTGGAGTGTAGGCCAGAGGTGTGGGGGGTGAGAGGATTCACTAGAGACAGAGTGAGGAACAGAACAGGTGCATTGACTGAAATACACTGCTGAGGGGAGCAGTGGGCAAGTCAGGAGAGGTCTGGTGTGCCATGTGGGCATCTCCCTGGCCGGAGATTAAACTTCTGCTGCAGTGGCTGCAGATAGCTTCATAGGTTGCGTCTTAACCCCTTGCACCACCAGGGAGGCCCTCAATATGCAATTTCAATATGGTCCTAATGCCTAGCACTTAGAAAATTTCTCATACTGACATAAGAATCCGTAAAATTCATTTCTGGTTGGCGCCAACATGAAAAAAAAGGTTACATTATCTGTGGAATATATAATCTGAGTTTTCATGTGGTGAAGATTATAAAAGACTGAAAGATAAAAATGTATAGTGGGCCTCCCTGGTGGCGCAGGTGGTTGAGCGCCACACCATGAAGCTGTTCGCAGCCTCTGCAGCAAGGATTCGATCCCGGCCGGCTGGTGAGAACCCCACATGGGGTGGCAGACCTCTCCTGTCTCGCCTGCTGCTCCCCTCAGCAGTGTATTTCATCAGTCTGCCTGTTCTGTTCCCCGCTCTGTCTCTGGTGAAGCCTCTCACCCTCCCGTACATATGGCTTGTACCCCAGCACTTTCATAAATAAAAAAAAAAAATCTTTAAAAAAAAGATGTTTAGTCCCTTATGGATACTAACATGAAATTATGTTTTCTTTTTACTTAAATTTCAGAAAATTTTTTTGTCTTCCAACTGACTGGTCACCCTTTCTCCCACAATGTTCTTATAACAAAACCTGGTAGTAAAAGATTATCAGATGGCTTGACTTTGTTCCTTTTTGTAACCCTTATTTGATATTCTGAAAGTAGACTAAATAAAGAATATGTATATATATTTATGTATTTATTTATATTTTAGAACCTGAAGTCATTTTTTAAAGAATATGGACAAATAGAATCTGTGCGATTTCGTTCTCTGGTAGGTTTTTCCCCCTCCACTCCTTAAAATTGCATAATCTTAAAGTCTATTGTATTGAATCAGAGTTATAAACATCTTATGTTAGTGAAATGGAGGTGTACTTGCCTTTAAGATTTTGAGTCAGCAGGTCGAAATCAACCCAAAAAATTGTTGCTCTTAGTGACTCTCGAACTTTGTCAGTTAATTCAATGAATTCACGTAATGAAATAATATACTTATTGTTACTAAGGCCAATTACGTATTTTGTGGGATGGCGGGTGACATTTGTTTGTTGTGTTTACTAAATAATCAGAAAGGTTAATACTTGTTAAGAAGCATTTCTGGAATCATAGGTATTCAATATGGGAGGTTTGTGTGACTGCTGTAGACAGTACTTAGGTTCTGAGCATGAAAAAGTTTTTTTAAAGCATCAATTTAATGTTAAAACTATATAAATGGTATCTGATTTTACCAACTAACTACTCTAATTACACCATGATCCTCAGAGCATGTAATAAGCATCCCTTGTGTTTTTGTAATTAATATGCATTAGAATACAAGAAATGCTTTTTCCTTATTTCTAACTGCCCTTTCTCATGTGATTCTCTAAAATGGGATTTCTCAACTTAAGTACTCTTGACATTTTGGGCTGGATAACTCCTTGTTGGAGGCCACCCTCTACATTGTAGGATATTTAGTAGTATTCCTGCCTCGGCCTGCTAGATGCTGGTAGTGCCCTTTCTATCCCAGTTGTAACAACCAGTAATAGCTCCAGACATGGTCAGATGTCACAGTGGGCAAACTGCCTACTTCTCTAAAAGTTGACATTTCCCAAGATTTTGGAGCAGTCTATAATTTCTCTGATGGCATTATTGTCTCACTTTTATTACATATATTTGATTTGCCCTTCTGCCTTTTCCCCATATCAGGTTTATGTGTGACATACACACTCTGGTGTCTTGAAACCCCAGTTTTAACATGTCTGTTCTTAAACCTTCATCCATCCCTCACCCCACCTGTGCTGTCTGTTGATTTTCTATATTATTTAGTGCTTCCCAGACTGTGGGCCTTGTGGTTGTCTTTAACTCTTTTCTTTGGCCCACCCAATCTATTGTTATCTTGGCCTGTTTTTCAACTGTGTTTTCTTCTCAAGATTTTTTTTTTCATTGTTTCACCTAAGTTTTCTTTTTTTTAATTTTTTAAGATTTACTTATTTATACAAGAACCAGGGTACAAGCCAGATTTGTGGGAGTGTGAGAGGATTCACCAAAGACAGAGTGGGGAACAGAACAGGCAGACTGACGAAATATACTGCTGAGGGGAGCAGTGGGTGTACAGGAGAGGTCTGCTGCGCCATGTGGCACCCTCGGCAGCCACGGCCGGTATTGAACCGGCACTGCAGAGGCTGTGGACAGCTTCACAGTGCTGTGCTGAACGGCCTGCACCACCAGAGGAAGCCCTCCACCTAAGTTTTCACTACCTTTTGCCAGAACAGTTGCTGAGGCCTATTATAGTTACTGCCTTTAGCCTACCTCTGATTTAGCCAAAATACTGCTGTTAGCTTAATTGCTCTGAAGTACTTCACTCTGAACTCCTGCCTGATATCCTCCCTCTCTCCCCGCTCTGTATGTGCCGCATGCCACCTCTGCATTATGTGCAGGGATATTTATCTTTTTTCTTCACTGCTTTGTCCTTAGCACCTCAAAATAATGCGCATAGTAGAAGCTCAATAAATATTAGTTGTGTAAATGAATAAATACAAAAATGTGTAAATGAAGTTTCTTCCATGTGATAGTCATTATACATTATTCTCTCTCTCTCTTTTTCTCTCTTACCTCTGTGTATCACCCATATATACCTACCTTGGCCTGGTATTATTTTTTGGCAACCTGCCCAGATTCTCATATCACTAGGCCACTGGCATCTTTGGTGACCCTGCTCTGTGCTGTGCAGCACCCACACTGCAGTGTAGTCCTTGTGATACTGTCCTGTAATTTTTTTTATGTTGTTTGTGTACCCCACCAGACTGTAAGCTGTGACTATAAATACCCAGTTTGTCTTGGTTACCAGTACCTGTACATTATGCACAGCAAGTAGGTATGGAATTCCTTAAAAGCTTTCTGTTAGTCTTGCTGTCACTGAGATCCGTCCATCTTAGCCTGGTGGTCTGCACAGGGTGGCCCCGAGGCTCTGTGTTCCTCCACACATAAGTCCTGCAGCCCAGGAGCTATGCCTGTTGCTGGGCGTACCTGTAGCCTTTCTCACCCTTGACCTTTTCTCAGTTCATTTGTTTTGCAGGGGTTCCTTCTTAAACTCCATTTTGCCTCTTAAAATACTGGAGGCAGTTGCATTGTTATTCAAGATTTCATCAGATGACTAAGAAAGAAGTTTTTCAGAGATTTACAACTCCCCTAAATGAGACTGACATTCACAGGTGCTTCTAGACTGTGAACTGTATCTTTTTGCCTTCATCTTCTCAGTACCTGGCGGTATTAACACACACCTGACAGTTATAGTTGTTGATTGAATTTCCTCCATGCAAGTTTCATTACCTGCCCCCTCTACTCTTAAGCACTACATAAGACTATAGTAAAGTGAACCTAAATATAAAAGGGAATTCCTTTTTTTCCCAATTAAAGCTACCACAATTTTTTTTTTCCAACAGCCATATATGAGCTTTTAGAGATATGGATGAAGTAATATGTCTTCTTACATTATAATTTTAGCCTGACCTTTTTTTTTTAAAGATTCATTGATTTATGCATACAAGAGCTGGGATATGGGCCAGAGGTACAGGGGGTGAGAGGATTCACCAGAGACAGAGTGGGGAACAGAATAGGCAGACTGACTGAAATACACTGCTGAGGGGAGCAGTGGGCGAGACAGGATGTGTCTGCTGGGCCATGTGAGCAGCTCCCTGGCCAGAGATCGAACTCGTGCTGCAGTGGCTGCCAGTAGCTTCACAGTGCTGATACTTAATCACTTACACCACCAGGGAGGCCCTAGCTTGACATATTTAAAATCACATGGGATTTGCAAAAAACACCAAGTAGAAATGTTGCCTTTTCATGCTTGTTTTATAAAACAATTTTCTTTACATTCTTCATGTGCATCTTTAACATCATTGTCCCCTTATGATCAAATACCACTTCAAGTCATCTGACAAAGTTTGAGGCCACAGTATGTTTGCTTCTGTTCAGGGCCTGTTGGATCTAAGTATGGTACTATCTTTGGATGTTTCTGTCCTCAGCTACCAGCTCCCATTCACATAGCATTAGGATAGTTGTTTCTGGTTCACTTTCAATCACCTCATATCAGAGTTAGAAATTTAGAATTCAATTAATTAACATTTAATTTGCTACAATATTTCAAATAATTAATTTTCTCTAATTTTTTTTCTCTTAAAAGATTCCCGCAGAGGAAACCATGTCCAAAAAGGTGGCAGCAATAAAGTAAGTTTATAATTAAAGAAAGGAAGTAGTTTTAAACTGTTTGGGAATACATCATGCTTTGACTGTTTCCTATTGTCTGTAATAGCATAGGAATTTGTCACCTGTTTGTCTTTAGGCCTTAATGGAAATTGTAGAGTCATGGGACATATTGTAAAATAACTTGCTAGTAAACGTACCCCAAGAAACTTCAAGGGGGTCGATCAATTTGGTGTAGTTTCGTCATTTTAGGGCACACATTCTCAGATTGAAATCAAGATGCATCTGAAAATCAGAGGTGCTCCATAGTTGTTGGCTGGTCAGGTTTTTGTAGGGACAGTTATGTTCTCTGGGATACTGCCAATCCAAGACCACTTTAAATTCTCTATAAGGGTTTCTGAACCAAACAGGTAGTGTGGCTTCATTCTGATACGCAGGATTCCCGTTTCCTTTCCCATGTATTTCCGCCCTTGTTGCCAAGGGGTGAGCTTGCACGTTTCTTTACTAAAAGTTGTTTCTCATTGATTTTCTTAATTCAAGTATAGTTGCCATATGTAAATTTTATAAAGCCTTTATTTCTCATTTAACTTTAGTTTTTTGTGTTTTTCCTATTAGTCTCCCAATCTGGGGTGTTTTGTCTTTTTTTTTTTGAAAGATTTATTTATGCATACAAGAACTGGGGTAAAGTCCAGAGATGTGGGGGGTGAGAGGATTCACCAGAGACAGAGTGGGGAACGGAACAGGCAGATCTACTGAAATACACTGCTGAGGGGAGCAGCAGGCGAGACAGGAGAGGTTTGCTACACCACGTGGGTCGGCTCCCTGGCCGGGATCGAACTTATGCTGCAGAGGCTGCTGATAGCTTCATAGTGCTGCGTCTCAACCCCTTGTGCCACCAGGGAGGCCCTGTTTTTTCTTTCTTATTGGTACTTGAAATGATGGATTTTAGAAGCAGAGGGGTATATATTGTACACATATACTCACACACATACACATATACATAAGATACATACATAAGATCTCTATAATTTGATCTCTATATAGATAGTTATATTAGATAACTTATAATGTACTGTAAAAACATTCCTCAGGATCCTCTTATATATAAAGATATTTGAATCATCCCCTTGAACATTTTGACAAGTTTATTTCTATGTTCATTCCTAATTTGGAATTATTTGGTGGACCAGGTCTTTGCCATTTTTTCCCCATAACCATTCCAGTGCCAGATACATAGTTCACACTTGATCAGTACGTGTTAATATGTGTTCCTGACTCCCGTAATTTTTCCTCAGGTAACCAAACGTCAGTCTTTTATACAAGACAATATTCAAACGCTATGGGGAATGTAAAACTTGGCAAGACACAGCCCTTCTTCTTTGGAGATTATGGACTTTTGTTTCTATGTAAGATTGGAATCCAGGGGCCTGAATTCAATAGAAGTAAAGGTTCTGTTACAAGAGTATGTCATAATAGTACTGAGGAGATTTGGTGCCAGAAAAATGGAGTCAAGGGCCTCCTGACCCCATTTAAAAACACTTTAAATTTAATTATTTGAATAAGAAATAAAGGAAATGGTTCAAAAGAAAAAAATGTAATAGTGTATGCAATGAAAAGTTCCTACATTTCATCCCTAGTCAGCCAATTTACTGCCTCAGACACCTGTGGTTTTTACTTTACCTTTAAAAAAAATTATATTTATTTATTTTTATGCATCATTGTTCATTTTTGTATAATGTTTGATTTCTCCCCTCATGTGTAATCACCATAAAATTCCCACCACCAAATCACCTGTGAACTGTCACCACGTCTCTTGTGCTCTTTCCTCTTCTTTTTTGACCTACCCCCCTCTCTCTCCCTCTCCTGTGGTGTGTCTCAGTTCTGGAGTTTGCCTGCTTGTTTTGTCCTTTGTTTTCTTACCTGACCCCTTGTTCAGTTTCCCTATATTCCTCCCATCAGTAAAATTACCTGATATTTTTCTTTTTCCTTCTGACTTATTTCACTGAGCATAACCCCTTCCAGCTCATTCCATGTTGCTGTGAATGGCATGAGTTTATCTTTTTTGATTGCTGAGTAGTATTCTGTTGTGTATATGTACCACATCTTCTTGATCCTATCATCTGTTTTTGGGCATTTGGGTTGTTTCCATATCTTAGCTATTATAAGTAATGCTGTAATGAACATAGGAGTGCAGCTTTCCTTTCTAATTAATGGTTTTGTGTCCTTTGGATAGATTCCTAGGAGTGGAATTGCGGGGTCAAATGGTAGATCCATTTTAATAATATAAGGGTCCTCAACACAGTTTTCCATAGTGATTGGACCAGTTTGCAGTCCCACCAGCAATCTAAAAGGGTTCCTTTTTCGCCACATCCTTGACAGCATTTGCTATTGTCATTTTTTTTATGTGGGACATTCTTACTGGTGTGAGGTCATCTATAACCTTCTGGTGACATTTTATGCATTTACAAACTAATATACATGTATGTTCATACCCCACACATAACTTTTGGACCAGTGGTATTTAATATAAACATGTTACTCTACTTCTTCTTTTTACCACTTGCTGTAACTTAGAAATCTGTTCATATCAGTGTAAAAATTGCTTCTCCATTCTTTTACAGGGCATCTTTGTTTTCTATAAGGTATACCGCAATTTGTTTTAACAAACCCATCACTGATGGACATTTGGATTTTTTCCCTAGTTTTGTGTCTATTACAAGTAATGTAGAGTGTGAGTGACCTTGTACTTATTTAAGTTTGTACACACGCAAATTTATCTCTAGGATAAACTTTTTTTTTTTAAAGATTTATTTATATATGCATGCAAGAGTTGGGGTACAGGCCAGAGATGTGGGGGATGAGAGGATCCACCAGAGACAGTGGGGAACAGAACAGGCAGACTGACTGAAAAACACTGCTGAGGGGAGCAGCGGGGAGACAGGAGAGGTCTGCCTCGCCGTGTGGGTTTCTCCCTGGCCTGCGGGGGGTTGAACTCATGCTGCAAATGCTGTGGATTGCTTCATAGTGAGGTTCTTAACTCCTTGCGCCACCAGGGGGGCCCTAGGATAAACTTCTACTAGTGAAATTGCTTGATCAAAAGGTTATTTGCATTTGTAATTTTGACTGCTTTCCATCCCATAGAGATGGTAGCTTATTTCTGTTCTCATACCTTTACCAATGGTATGGTTTTCAGCTTTTTCATCATTGGCAATATCATAGGTAAAATGATATTTCTTTGTTTTTTTTTTTTGTTTTAAAGATTTATTTATTTATGCATACAAGAGCTGGGGTACAGGCTGGAGGTATGGGGGGTGAGAGGATTCACCAGAGACAGTGGGGAATAGAACAGGCAGATTGACCGAAGTACACTGCTGAGGGGAGCAGCGGGTGAGCCAGGAGAGGTCTGCTGTGCCTTGTGACTTGTTCCCTGGCTTGCCTGGGGACCAAACTCATGCTGCAGAGGCTGCGAACAGCTTCATAGGTTGCGTCTTAACCCCTTACACCATGAGGGAGGCCCCTAAAATGATATTTCTAATCTATATTTCTTTTATGACTGAGCATCTTTTCATATAATCAAGAATCATTTCTGTTCCCTTTTATGTAAATTGTTACACATTTCCTCAATTTTTTTCTACTGAGTTTCTCTGTTGAAATCTGCTAGGTGTAAAGAAATTAGCCTTTTGGGACACAGAAACATCAATTCCAAAGAACACCTGCACCCCTATGTTTATAGCAGCACTGTTTACAATAGCTAAGCTTTGGAAACAACCCAAATGCCCAAAAATAGATGACTGGATCAAGAAGATGTGGTACATATATACCATGGAATATTACTCAGCATTCAAAAAAGATAAACACATGCAATTTGCAGCAACATGGATGGCGCTGGAAGGGATCATGCTCAGCGAAATAAGCCAAAAAGAAAAAGAAAAATACCGGATGGTCTCACTCATAGCAGGAATCTAGAAAACTTAAATAAGGGACCAGGAAAATGAATATAAGAAAGTGAAAATCAAAATCAACAAAAAACTATGAACCAGAGACACTTTTAGGGGGGGGGCGGGAGGGAGGGATTGGGGTCAGAATGGGGGGCTGCAATTGTATGGGGAATATAACAATAAAATTTATAAAAAAAAAAAAAAAAAAAGAAATTAGCCTTTTGTTATTTGAGTTATTTTTCCTATTGGTCACTTGCTATTTTTCTTCTACTCACTGGAGATTTTATAATGTAAAACTTATTGCCTTTTAATTTTATAGTTAAACATTTGTCAACTTTTTTTCTACTTTATGAAAGCCTGGTTTACCTTCAAAAGACTGCACAAACTTTATTTATTTATTTATTTTAATTTAAATAAATTGTATTTTTATATTCCCCATACAATTGCAACCCCCTTATTTTGACCCCAATTCCTACCCGCCCCGTCCCCCCACTCCCCATAGAGTGTCTCTGGTTCATATTTTTTTGTTGATTTTGATTTTCACTTTCTTATAGTTATTCATTTTCCTGGGTCCCTTATTTAAGTTTTCTAGATTCCTGCTGTGAGTGAGACAATCCGGTATTTTTCTTTTTCTTTCTGGCTTATTTCGCTGAGCATGATCCCTTCCAGCGCCATCCATGTTGCTGCAAATTGGATGTGTTTATCTTTTTTGAATGCTGAGTAATATTCCATGGTGTATATGTACCACATCTTCTTGATCCAAGACTGCACATACTTTATATGTATAATTTTTAATTTTTTTATTTTCTGTATTTTTTTTTTTAATTTCCTAAAATCATTGCCATAGTCAAGATACTGAATGCTGGGCCTCCCTGGTGGCGCAGGCAGTTGAGCGCAGCGCTGTGAACCTGTTTGCAACCTCTGCTGTGCCAGTTCCATCCCCGCTGGCTGTGGAGAAACCCACATGGCTAGGCAGACCTACTGTCTCGCCCTCTGCTCCCCTCACCATTGTATTTTGGTTGGTCTGCCTTTCTGTTCCCTGTTCTGTCACTGGTGAATCTTCTCACCCTCCCACACATCTGGCCTGTACCCCAGTTCTTGTATAAAAATAAATAAACTTAACCAAAAAATTTTTAAAAATCTTTTCCAAAAAAAAAAAAAATACTGAACGCTTCATGACCCCACCCCTGTCACCAGGTCATCACTGACCTTCTTCCTGTCTTTGTTTTTTGTTTTTTTTTAACATTTATTTTATTTATACAAGAGCTGAGTTACAGGCCAGATGCACGGGAGGGTGAAATTATTCACCAGAGACAGAGTGGGGAACAGAACAGGCAGACTGAAATACACTGCTGAGGGGAGCAGCAGGTGAGACAGGAGAGGTCTGCTCACCATGTGGGTTGCTCCAAGGCCGGCGGGAATTAAACCGGCACTGCAGAGGCTGCGGACAGCTTCACTGCGCTGCGCCCAACCGCCTGCACCACCAGGGAGGCCACTTTCCTGTCTTTGTATGTTAGTTTTCAGTTTCTAAGATTTTATGTAAATGATTTCATTGCACAGGATATACCCTTCTCTGACTTCAAAACAATAGAGTAATGTCTTCTAAGAAGGATTTGTGGTCATTCTGGTTCCTTATTGCTGATTGGTCAAATCTCAGTTATATCACCATTTTGTCAAGCTAGTGACATAATGGGTTTAGACAGTGAATAGCAATGGCTGTGGTCATTAAAAAGTGAAAAGCAGGGCCTCCCTGGTGGTGCAGAGCGTCGAGTGCAGCGCTATGAAGCTGTCCTCAGCCTCTGTAACACGGGTTCGATTCCCAGCCAGCCAGGGAAAAACCCACATGGCGTAGCAGACCTCTCCTGTCTCTTCTGCTGCTCCCCTCAGCAGTGTATTTCGGTCAGTCTGCCTGTTCTGCTCCCCGATCTGTCTCTGGTGAATTCTCTCACCCTCCCCTGCCTCTGGCCTGTGCCCCAGTTCTTGTGTAAATAAAAATAAATCTTTAAAAAAAAAAATGAAAAGCAGTCATTATACCTTCCCACTGAAAGATCAAAACACTGCCTACTGTCTTAACAAAGGGGTTGTGTTTGTTTTGCTTTCATTTTAGAGTGAGAAGAAAAAATCCAGTTGTCTTTTTTTGCATTTCTGTATATATGTTAAATACAGAGCTGCAGCTGAGATTATTTTCCAGCCGTGTGGTGTTACATGGATGGTCCACCTGCTCTCACAGTGATGATTTAGTAAGAAGGCATGGGTTACATGTTTCAGCCAATGTCTGTACAAGTTATGTAATTTTTTGAATTGTTCCTAAATATTTAGGTGATGAAACTTTCTTCAGAAATTTTTGTCATATGTGTTGAGTGAGAGTGAAAAACAACCTGTATATATTTTATTTATATTTACTGATGGAAACATTTTAACACTGTCTTCTTTTTTTCCTGGACTATAGACGTAAAGTTCACCCTGACCAGAAAAATATTAATGCTTATGTTGTGTTTAAGAATGAGAGTGCTGCTACACAAGCGTTGAAAAGGTAATTTTATCGCTTTGAGGTTCAGCAGAATTATTTAAATATACATGCTTTATTCTTTGGTTTCATTTTAGGACAAATATTACAGTAACCTGGGGCTCATTTTTAACAGTCATTTCTTCCTCATATTTATAATACAGAAATGGTGCCCAAATTGCAGAAGGATTTCGAGTTAGAGTTGATCTTGCATCTGTCACTTCCTCTGTAAGTAGTACTTGAGTTGTTTAAAAAACTTAGTCTTGGGCCTCCCCGGTGGCGCAGTGATTGAGCGCTGTGTTGCAAAGCTGCCCGCAGCTTCTGCAACGCCGGTTCCATCCCCAGCCACTGGGCGAGGGGCCCACCTGGCATGCAGACCTATCCTGCTGCCTGCTGCTCCCCTCAGCAGTGTACTTCATCATTCTGCCTGCTCTGCTCTCCGCTCTGCCTCTGGTGAATTCTCTCACCCTCCTGCACTTCTGACTTTACCCAGTACTTGTATAAATAAATAAAATAAAATCTTAACAAAAAAAAAAAAAACAAGAAAAAGTCTTGTAGAGAGAAATGTTTTCTTCTGAGCTTTTGTTAGCAGTGAGCTTGAGGGACGCAGAGAAAGAAATAACCTTTGTCGGGCCTCCCCGGTGGTGCAGCGGTTGAGCACTGGGTTGCGAAGCTGCCCGCGGCCTCTGCGGCGCCGGTTCGATCCCCGGCTGCTCCCCGGCCACCAGAGGAGGGTCCCACGTGGCGCGCAGACCTCTCCTGCCGCCCGCTGCTCCCCTCAGCAGTGTACTTCGGTCCTTCTGCCTGCTCTGCTCCCCGCTCTGGCTCTGGTGAATTCTCTCACCCTCCCGCGCTTCTGACTGTACCCAGTGCATGTATAAACAAAACAAACAAATATAATAAATAAATAAAAAAAAATAAAAAAAAAAATAAAAGAAATAACCTTTGTCCTCTGGAGTCACAATATCAGTGCCAGTAATGGTCCACCAACTTAGGTCTACATTTGCTATAGGATTATGATCCCCCCAGTCCCACCATTAGAATGAATAATCAGAGAGTTAGGTTGGAAGATGTGTTAGACAGCATCTAGGCCAGTGCTTTATAGAATGAGGACTAGAAAGTTAAATAATTCATTTAACGGTTTTTAAGTCTCTGCTTTGTGTCAGCCATATAGTCTCAGTTTCCTAGATGTTCCCATTATAAAGGTGAAGATAAAATTGGAATGATTGAGGTACTGATGACTGTGGCCAATGAATACTGTCAGAAAGGCTCAGGGTACTTCGTCAGCTCTGGTATGGGCGCTTGGCGGGCAAGGTGCCAACAAGAAGCGACAAAGGAGGGTTTTTAGGAAAACAGGTGTTACATCAGACATGAAAGATGAGTCCGTGATATCCAGGCAAAAATTACAAAAAGAGAATATTGGATTAGGACAAACAGTGCAAATGTGAGGACCCAAACTGAATTTGCTCAGGGAATGTCAAGGGCTTGATACAGTTTTAGTGGGTAGCGTGTGAGGCTGGGTAGGACTAAGAGTTGCTATTGGAGAAATAGGTAGAGGCCAAATCATGAAGTCTGTATTCTGCCATGTTGGTTCTGGGTTTTGTGTAGGTGCTATGGTACAGGTGTAAGCATGGGAGAGTTGTGACCAGACTTGGCATTTTACGAAGCTCCTTTGAAATGAAGGCTGGGCTTGTAAAAACTCTTAACATTACTTCAGTGTCAAAGTGACCTGGTTGAGAAATGATAAAGGCCTGGTTGACAGCACTGTCTTTGGTTATGGATCTAGCACAGGTGAAGAAACTGTCTTGGGGGCCAAAACCACTTGCCACATATTTTTTGAAATAAAGTTTTATGGGTACAAACCATACTCATTAGGTTATGTATTGTGCTAAATGACAGACTTGAGTGGTGGCAATACATGGACTACAGTTGCAACACATGGACTACAGAGCCTGAAATATTTGCTCTCTGGTACTTCACAGGAAAACCTTGCCCAGCCCTAACATAGCATGCCTTTCTTGAGCACTGCCATGTGTCAGTGTTGGGTCACCAGTAATCTGAAACTGGTCTCTGTACATGAAGGGCAAGGAGAGATGGAAGAAAAAGACAGACTAGACTACTCCATATTGGCAGGTGGCAGTTTTAATAAGCAAAGGTACTTATATATAGGCTTGTCTTGGGCATCCACAAGACAGGTGGTTTTCCACCCCTGTCCCCCAAATGTTAAAAGTTTGTCTAGAGGCTTTAACTGGGTTTAATCAGGTACACTGTCGAGATGGTCTTAGCAACATATTTTTGTCTCAGGAACATGTCCTAAGCAGTATAGGAGCAAGGAGGCCAAGTGGAACCCCTGTGGAACTCACATGGGAGGTGGGGTGTTTTGGGGAGGCTTTAATTGCCAAAGTCCAGCTACCAGGTCAACAAGTGGTCACATTCTTTGGGTTCCCTTCCCTAACCCAGTGCCAGCTGTGAACAGATAAAACACTCCCTCTTGTGGTGCTATTCACCTCATTATAGGCTACTCATAATAGAGAGGGGAAGGCTGCAGGGAAGGCTGGGTGTGTGACTAAATCAGAGATGGAGGCCCAACAGATATGTGGGGTGAGGGAAAAGGATGGGTTTTAGGATGACTTCCATTTTCTGCTTCATTGACTGATTTTTATTAACTCTTTGTGTTTCAGAGGGAGAAGAGATCAGTGTTTGTGGGCAATCTCCCATACAGTAAGTTTAAATAAAGTTATTTAAATAACAGGGACATAACAACTGAGTTGTAACCTAATGTTTTAAGACTAAAAATTGAGGTATGTTACTTCACTAATTTTCATTGGATTAAGCTTACCTTGCTGTATTTAACACCTGCAGTTTTCTAAGGCAATTCCAAGTCTTTATTTCCTCTTTGGTTGAATTTATTTGTAGGAATTGAAGAATCTACAGTTGAGGAACACTTTTTGGACTGTGGCAATATTGTGGCAGTAAGAATTGTGAGAGATAAAGTTACAGGAGTCGGCAGAGGGTTTGGCTACGTGCTTTTTGAGGTATGAGAGACTAATGCATTGTCACTGTCCTCTGAAATGAGGCTGAGAGGGATTGTCACTGCTCTTTCATCATTCAGACGTAACTGTCACACCCTCAAATTCCATCTTAAGAGAACTAATGAGTAGAGTTCCTCTAATTGCATCTAGCCAAAAGATGTTCTATCAATAGTTCCCTCTTTCTCCATAGTAATGTTACTGAATAATGTTTGAGAAACTGGATATTAAAGATATTAAATCACTAAATATCCAACTTCTGTGAAATGGAGAAAAGAATTGATTGTTCACTTCAAGTAGACGAAAATTTCAGTCTTTGTATAAATTGGTTATATTTAGCTCACCAAATATTAACCACTGTTTCATGCCTAACATTATTACATTATATTTAGTATTAGACTATACATTCTATTCAAATATACATACTGTCTGCTGGCACTTGAGTTTTTCTTCCCTCATTAATACATTTCCTTTCAGTTTTTTCCTGTGCCTTTTTTATAGTTTAACTTATACCTGTGGACCTAAAAATTTGCAACCTGCTTCACTTCGTTTATGTTATGTAAGCATCCTCCATTGAGTGATATAACATTATTTAGACTGTCTTTTCCCTCATGTTTCTCAGATTTTTCATGTTCCCTATTCCTATAATAAGGAAATTGGAGTGGTTGTTTTTTTCTTTAAATGTTTGCCTTTATTTTTGAATTACTTCTTTAGGATAGATGCCCAGTGGGCTGTTAGTAACTAGGTCAATATATATGTTTATTTTGGAGGCTCTTCATAATGTATCACCAGATATTTTTTTTTAAGATTTATTTTACTTATTTTATGCATAAAATAAAGCTGGGGTGCAGGCCAGAGGTGGGGCGGGGAGTGTGGGAGAGAACTCACCAGAGACAGCTTGGAAAGGAGAACAGGCAGATCTTCTGAAATACACTGCTGAGGGGAGCAACGGGCGAGTCAGGAGAGGTCTGCTATGCCCTGTGGGTTATCTCCCTGGCCGGGGATCGAACTAGTGCTGCAGTGGTTGCAGATAGCTTCACAAATGCTGAGACTTAACCCCTTGCACCACCAGGGAGGCCCTCACCAGATAGATTTTTTTTTTTAAATAACATAAAATTTATTTATTTATTTATTTATTTTTATATTCCCCATACAATTGCAACCCCCCCCCCCCATTCTGTGACTTATCTGATTGTTTGACAACTCAAGTACTTCCTGGGGAAAAACTGGTTAGGATCATGATTAAAGCAAGACTATAAACAAAGCTGCTGGGACACTTGTGATCGAACTTGAGTGAGGAGATGGGAGGGGTTTCTGGGTGAAAGCTTGAATGTTCTGATTTATTAAGGTTGCAATTTTACTAGTTTCTTGGCAAAGAAGTTTCTGGTAGAAATTAATATATTGATTTTTATTGCAGAATACAGATGCTGTTCATCTTGCTCTGAAATTAAACAATTCTGAACTGATGGGAAGAAAACTCAGAGTCATGCGTTCTGTTAATAAAGAAAAATTAAAACAAAATTCAAAACCCAGTTCAAAGGATGTCAGTAAACCTAAACAGGGACTTAATTTTGCTTCAAAAAATGTAGGACATTCTAAAAATTTATTTATTGGAGAAAAAGCTGTTCCCATTAAGAAGAAAAGAAAGGCCAGAAGAAAAGTGGACAGACTAAGAAACAGAAAAAACAGAGGTAGCAACTGAAGCTTTTTATTTTTATCTCACTGAGTATTGGTAATAAAAGTGTGGTGGACCCACATATTGAGTTTTAGAATTTTTCATGGATGACGTATGTGAAACACGGAAACTTTCCATTTATTATGTAGAAATAATAACTTTGAAGTGTTTGTTTTAAGGTGTTGGTGGATTAGTCACTTGGATATGTGTTATAGGCGACGGTAAATGATTTTAGACTAATGGTAAACATTTAAAATTTCAGGTTGTGTATGAACTTTAGTGGAAGTTAGAATTCAGATAGTTATTTCAGGAATTACTTGAAATGAGACACAATTAAAAAGTGAGTAGAAAAAGAAAAGAAAAATATTTAAAGAAAAAAATTTAAAGAAATATAAAGCAATAAATAATAATGGCTGTCCCAAGACAAAGTATCTTAATAATAAAAGTGGAAATGCTAACCTATGGTTTAATCACAATCTTTAAGAAGAAAGGTTTTGAGGGCTATTATATAACAGTCACTCATTTTTTTCTTCCTTTCTTTTGTATTTAACAATAAGTGGAGTTCTGGGTTTTAATTTTATTCCATCAACCTAATAATAACTAACCAATAAGACATATAAAATTTGGCTCTGATTTCTTTTTTTTAATTGGTGATTAGACTAGTTATTGAAGTCCTTGGCAAATTGGCCAGAAAACAGATGTCTAATTTTTCTTTCCTATATTTTAATTTGAAAAATATTCTTCCAAGAAAACTTACACCTCATGAAACAATCTTTCAGATACTCATATGTATAGGAAACATTTTCTGATAAAATATGGTAATTATGTCATATAGAATAAAGTTCAACAAGGAGAATGAATATGAGTAGTCCCTTGGAGCTTAACCCTGTGATACAGTTACTTCCCCTCTCACAAATTTTTATACACTGGACCTGTATCCAGGAAGCAGGAGAGGAGGGAAACCAGAGAGCAGATCCTATGTCAGCAAAATCTGGATACGTGCATTCTACCATTTAGGTGGATTAAGAAGATTAGAGGGCTCTAAGTTATTTCTCATTATTTGGCTCTTTTTTTTTTTTTTTTTTTTGTGGGACCCTTGGCCGGCAGCAGGGGAACGAACCCGTGCAGCCCAGCGCTCAACCGCCGCACCACCAGGGGAGACCCTAAGTTATTACTCATTATTTGGAAAATCCTTTGTGGGATGTAACACAGGGAAGACCTAAGGGTCTTTAAACTATAGCTCTGTAGAAAGCAGACAGTTCATTTTCCTGTATTCAGAGACTGGGTGTTTAATGAGTAGTACCCATATGGTACTTAGAACCTTGTTTTTCTTAGGGTTCAGTAAGTACTTATTCATTGATAATTCTTATTTTTTAAAAAATTTTATTTATTTATGCACATAAGAACTGAGGTATAGGCCAGAGGTGTGGGAGGTGAGAAGATTCACCAGCGACAGAGTGGGGAACAGAACAGGCAGACTGACTGAAATACACTGCTGAGGGGAGCAGCGGGCGAGGCAGGAGAGGTCTGCTCCATGCCATGTGGGTATCTCCCTGGCCGGCTGAGATTGAACTCCTGCTGCAGAGGTTACAGATTGCTTCATAGTGCTGTGCTTAATGCCTTGTGCCACCAGGGAAGCCCTCCAGCTAGATGTTTTCATAAGCATTCTGGTAATAACTTCTGACACCAATGACCCAGAATTAGGTCAAACTTCACAGGTTAAGGATACAGTTCTTTACAAGACTACCTTCACTGTAGACACCTATACAACTTGGAAGGGTCTCCATGTTCACTTCTCAGTTGGCTGCTAATTTAAGGGTCCCCAGAAACCCCGATCAGGCTTAATTCACTATAAGGAGTCACAGAACTCAGCAACATATTCTACTAATGACTACCACCATTTTATGACCAGAAAAAGAGAAAAAAAAAAAAAAACCTACAAATAAGAGCCAGCCAAATAGACACATAAGGAGAGGTCTGGGAGAGTACCAGGTTCAAAACCTCTATTGCATCTCACCCTCGCAGCACATGGCACACTGATGTGTAAGCACCTTGTATTGCCAACTCCTGGCATGCTCACCCAACTCTAGTTTTCATTATGCAGGTTGCAGGCTGTGAAGTTGAACTCAGCTTCCAACCCCTCCTGCCTCAGGTAGGGCTGATATCAAGTCCCACCCTCAAGTGGTTGTCTGTAGTTGGTGGTTCTGGCCTGGACTGCCCCCATCATCAGCCATTTCCTTCACATAAACTGTCAGGGCCCACCAAGAAAACAAACATTCCTATCATTCCAAGGGTTTAAGAGGATCCCTTCCATGACTAGGAATAGAGGCCAACCAAATTCCTTATTACAAAACCCTGTACCTCACTGGTTTTACCATACCTCTCATCAACTTACTTGTTAAGGTCTGCTTTTTGTCCAAGATTTTATTTTCTCTTAAAATTGAAACTACTCATGCAATGTTTTCTGTGGCTCCAAGACAACTCACCCTTTCTATTTTCTTCAATCTCTTTAATCGGTTATATTTTCTCAAGAATTGCTCCATTTAATTTTCTTCCACACCTCCCTTGTAACATTCATTTGAAATCAAATCACTAGACTATGGGGCTTGGCGTACAGTGGATTGTGACTTAACTTGAAAAAGCAAATTTCAGTTAAATTCAGGAGTCACTGATTGCCAGCATTATACAATAAAAAGAAGTCTGTCGTCAACGACCTTCCATCTTTGTCTTGACAGGAGCAGGCTGTTGGCTATAGAATCTTCTGAGTTTGTGCATGACCGACATGCACCCCCTCAATACACGCTCAGTGGCTCTTTTTTTTTCCAGATTTATTTATGCATACGAGAACTGGGGTACAGTCCAGATGTGTGTGTGGGGGGGATGTGTGTGAGAGAGGACTCACCAGAGACAAAGTGGGGTACAGAACAGGTAGATTGAAATACACTGCTGAGGGGCGCAGCGGGCGAGTCAGGAGAGGTTCGCTGTGCCATGTGGGTATCTCCCCGGTGGGGGAATCGAACTGGTGCTGCAGTGGCTGCGGACAGCTTCATAGGTTGCGCCCTAACCCCTTACGCCACCAAGGAGGTCCTCAGCGTCTCTTACGCAAGCGCTCCGCCAGTCCCAAACCGGGGCTCCGCCGCCAACCTCCACCCGCCAGACCAAAGCGTCGGGGCCTAGGCCCCCTGCACAGGCGCAGAAGCAGCGCGGGCGCCTCCGCTCAGGCACCGCCGCGGACGTCCCTGGGGGCCTCGGGCGATTAGGGCCGGAAGTGGCGCGCGCTCGGCCTTTCCGCGTCCCTCGCGGCGGGCGGCGGGTCTGAGGGCTCCGTCGGCGCTGAGGGAACGCGGCCAACGGCTTCTCCCCGGGCCCCGCGGCCGCCGCCCCAGCCCCACGACCGAGGGAAGATGGTGGGCCGGAACAGCGCCATCGCCGCGGGCGTGTGCGGCGCCCTTTTCATCGGGTACTGCATTTACTTTGACCGCAAGAGGCGGAGCGACCCCAACTTCAAGAACAGGCTGCGAGAACGTGAGTGGGTCCCTGCGCCCCGGCCCGCCGCGCCCGGCCACCCGCGCGCCGGGCCGGGGGCTTCGTGGGGCCGCGCGCCGGGCGCCCTCGCGGTGCTCAGCCGGGCGGCCGCGAGCCCGCGGACCGGAAAAAGGTGATGGCGCCGGGGAGCGCTCCCCGCGCTGCTCCTGGCTCCTGGGCTCTGCAGGATTCCCTCCATTTTGGAGCAACGATTTTTCCCATTTTGTTTTTCTCCAAGCACGTTTGCCTTCTAAATACACGCTTGTTTGGGTTGGGATTTTGGGGGGGGGGGTGTTGTCGCCAACCCCCTGCTCCCCGCATTTTTTTGCCGTTTACCTTTTAAACCTTTATTCTGAACTCGAAAGTCAATGGTTTTTTGGGTTTTTTTTTGTGTGTGTTTTACGATTTTGTGCCCGAGACTGAATTCTCAAAGCCAGCTCGCGGTGTCCTTGTTGCATTCTTAAACCCCCTTGGTAGCTTGGCTTTAAGTGCTTCCAAGATATGAATGAATGCTATAGAAATTGCAGGGCAGTCCAAAGGGCTGTGCTTCTTCTGTCGCTCAGCTTTATTTCATACCTGCGACATCTTTTTACAAGGGAGAGTTGCAAGAGGAAAATCTTGTCACCAGAACCAATGTGGTCTGTGAATCTCGACGCGCACTCCTTTGCAACGATAGGAGGGCAAATTTGTTGCATAAGAAGTATTTTTGTAACGTAATTTAGGTTACTCAGTGAAAACAGTTTCTGAGATGAAAATTAATGGTCAAGTAATTAAAGTCAGAAAGTAGAAAGAAGTGACAATCCTAGTCTAGATTTTTAAATTAAGTTACAGGTCGTTTCGGAGGCCACGTGTGGCTCGTGACTACCTTTGAACCATGCTGATGGTGTTCATCTACAATATGACATATAATTCTAGCTCTCTTACGTTTTAAGAGAGGAGGCACATAGAAATTTTCATTTATGGTTCAACTAAGGGGAAGGATACCGTTTTGGTTTCAGACACTGAGTCCCCAAGCACAGGTTAGTCACAGATTAGCAGCATAATCTTGGATTTTCTGAATCTTAATTTTCTTAGGTTGTAAAATCAGGTAATGCCCCCCACGTGCCTCTGATTGGTTTTGTGGAGATTAAGACGTTTCAGGTGTCCACCACCATTCCTGACATAGGAAAGGGTTCCTTCCATGAATATAGACTGGTAAATGTATGAGTAGTAATTGGAATTTAGCTAATTTCCCTAAAACTATTTCCTTGAAAATAGTTGGGGGTCACGGGATAGAAGCTTAGCTCTATAAAGAATGGATTAACCCTACCTTTGGAAACACCGTAAATCCTATTGTTGAAAGTTACCATTTTAGAAAAAAGATAAGTTATTTTCAGATTCTTTTTCTGTGACCTTTGATCCATGTTTTCCCCCTCGCTTTAGCAGTAGACTGATTTAAGTTGTCAGGCAGTGAATTATTAGCTGAGTAACCTTGGATTACCCACTTAAAGCTTTAGTAAAATGGTATACTAAATGCAGAGTTGGGTACAGTCCCTGGACTGTGGTAATTGATGAATGTTAAAGATTGTTTATGAATATAACTATTATTTGGTATTTATTAAGCAGCTGAGGCTTTTATTCATAATAATTTTGCAAACTGTTTAAAGAGGTGATTGGTCTTAATAACGAGGTATTTTGCATTCATGATAAGGAAAAGATGCTTCAGGGGTTTAAGGAGACTTGAGATTAGATTCGGGATACTTATTTATTGAGATTTTTGTCTTCCCATTAGCTCGTGTGGATTATCAGAACTCTTACAGCATCATTTTTTAAAAATCACTGAGTTTTTTTTTTTTTTTTAAAGATTTACTTTTATTTATTTATACAAGCACTGGGTACAGTCAGAAGCGCAGGAGGGTGAGAGAATACACCAGAGCCAGAGCGGGGAGCAGAGCAGGCAGAAGGACCGAAGTACACTGCTGAGGGGAGCAGTGGGTGGCAGGAGAGGGCTGCGCGCCATGTGGGACCCTCCTCCTGTGGCCGGGGAGCAGCCGGGGATCAAACCGGTGCTGCAGAGGCTGCGGGCAGCCTCGCAACCCAGCGCTCAACCGCTGCGCCACCGGGGAGGCCCAAAAATCACTGAGTTATTTTTTTAAAGGTATATTTATGCATACAAAAACTGGGGTACAGGCCAGAGGTGTTGGGGGTGAGAGGATTCGCCAGAGACGGGGGAGCAGAACTGGCAGACTGACTGAAATACACTGCTGAGGGGAGCAGTGGGCCAGTCAGGAGAGGTCTGCTGCGCCATGTGGGTAGCTCCCTGGGCGGGGATCAAACTTGCACTGCAGTGGCTGCTGATAGCTTCATAGTGCTGTGTCTTAATCCCTTGCACCACCAGCAAGGCCCCCACTCTAAGTTATTAATAAATGAAAAATAACCTTCAAATTATAGTGTTAGCAGCAGGTGTGTTTCATTTATACAGCACTGCATTAAATGATTCATCATTTTAATATATATTAAGTAATCTATATAAATGAATGCTTTGAAAGTAGACAGATTAGCTTTAACTTGCTAGATTTACACAGCAGCACTTGGGACTAATTGTTAGCAAATACTCAATCCAGCCCTGATTTTGTTGATTGAATGTGTAACTGGTTTTATCAGCCTGTTACTGTCTCTCTTTTTATCACAGAGATAGTATATGAAACTATCTCTGAAAATAAGTCAATGTAACAAGTTGTCTTATGAAAGGAAAGCCAGAATTTTTGATTTAATGCTAGAAATTTAAAGCACTTAATCATCTGAAAGTTTAGTAATAGTATCAAACATACTCAGTAACAAGGTCCTCCACCCCCACTTAAAAAAACTACTGTAAGACTGGTTAATAATGGGAACAAGTGGCCCTTTCCTTGAATTTCATTAACATTTTTTGGTCATTTTCTGTAAATTCTGCATTAGCAAATTATATTTCTCTGTATTCTACAAAGTTGCCATATTCATTTTTGCAGTCCCTTTTATTTTGATGGTAATGTCTTCTCTTATCCTGTAGGGATATAATGTTTGCTTATACGTGCTCTGAAATTCACTGTCTGATTGTGAATCCACACTCCACCACTTAATATTTGTGACTTTGGTGAACGTGGTAACAATACCTATCTTTATGTTACCATGAGGATTGAATAAGGTAGTTAATAACATTTCGAGCAGTGCTTCACATATCATCTAAAACTTAACTGAGGGCCTCCCCCCATGGCGCAGCGGTTGAGCGCTGGGTTGCGAAGCTGCCAGCAGCCTCTTCAGCGCTGGTTCGATCCCCCGGCCACCGGAGGAGGAGGGTCCCACGTGGCACGCAGACCTCTCCTGCCGCCTGCTGCTCCCCTTAGCAGTGTACTTCGGTCCTTCTGCCTGCTCTGCTCCTGCTCCCCACTCTGGCTCTGGTGAATTCTCTCACCCTCCTGCGCTTCTGATTGTACCCAGAGCTAAATAAATAAATAAATCTTAAAAAAAAATAAAACTTAAGTGAGAGCTTAACCCTTATCATCCAGTTCTTTTCACATACTGTTCCTCTGTGAAGTCTTCCTTTTTCTTGTAGTCTTAGTCCGCTCCTAACACTGTAGCATATTTAATAATTAGTAAATATTGCCTGCTGTCATGTTATTTTTTGCCTAAAAACTGAAGAAACTCTTAAATTGAGAGCCTGTTACGTCTTAGGTCTCCTCACAGTTAATTGTCCAGTGATGAACACCTAGGAAAGGTAATTAGTTAGAGAAATAGGCAGTCTTCAAATTATTATGTAAGATAATCTTTAACTGTTCTTTTTTTTTCCTGTTGAAACTGCTAGAATTGTATGTGACTTGGCTTTGCCACACTGTATGTATTATGGGGGCTTGAATTGTAGAATTATTGAAGGCTTTCAGAGGACATAGCCTTGTTTTATGGCTTTCCTTCTCACAGTAGTAAAGTTAAGCATGCTTTTTCCTTTGGAGAGTTAAAGAGATTTATTTGCCAAAGGTCACTCAAGTAGTATTAGAGCCTTGCCTTTCTTGGCTATATGCCACGTGGTCCTTAGTTGAGCTGATATGAACTCAGTATCAGGTACTTCCTTATAAAACAGGCACTGTTAAAATGCTTATGCATTAATTTACTTAATCCTCTCAACCACTGTGAAGCAAGCTCTTAGACCAAATTTATATAGGGAGAAAGTGAGACAAAAGTTACTGTAATTTATTCAGTCAAGGTCACACTGTTAGTAAATGGAAGAGATATAAACAAAGCCTGTGGCTTCTCTTGTGCCAACTCCCTTCACATGGGGTACAAGATTAAATAGCAATTTAAAATAATGTAGTGTAGTAATAGTCGTCTTATTGATTTGATTTAAAGGGTAGACTAGTTGGTGATTAAGATTTTAAACAATATTGATATTTCATATCAAAAACAGATTTAAAAAACCTTTCAGAATATAGGCAAGGCCCCCCCTCCTCCCACCTTTAGCCAGAAATAGTTGCATTAAGATTTTGCCAGTGCATTTCTAGGCACTGTAGTCCTTGGCCTGCTGTCTGTACCCCCACCCCCAGCAGTGGCTTAATTCTTGCTTTGAATTTCTGTCCTGTCTAGGTTAGGGGAGGGGCAAGGGGAGCTTACTCTGCTTATGGTAGTTCAGGAGACTAAGCTGTTGGAATTATCTTCCATCTTGTAAATTTCTGATTCTGGTGCTCCAAAGAAAAGGGAAAAAAGCTCCTTGATCAGAACTATTCATATGACCCTGACGAGTGAGGAGAGCAGAGAGTTAGGAATGTTTTGCCAGTAGAATGAATAACTGCCACAGCTGTTACCTTCTTTCAGTTTTCATTTTAACAATGATAAAATGAAAATATTCCTTTTTTTGCAGGAAGAAAGAAGCAAAAGCTTGCCAAGGAGAGAGCTGGACTTTCCAAGGTAATATTCAATCTTTTTTTTTTGTTATGATATACTCTAAAATTGTTTTAAAATCTACTTTCACATATGGATTTTGAGAAAGCTAGTTACATAAGATATTGGGTGTCTATTTTAGAATGTTCTATTTTAAAATATATGTTTCTAGCAATAGTTAACTCATGTGAGCTGCGGAGTATCTTGATTGCCTTTTGTCGAACATAATAGGCAGCTTACTGTATGAACGATATATAAAGGACAAAAAGGTGATAGTCTCCAAAAGATTCAAATGTTCTCATGCAGCTGCTTTGAAATAAACTAAAATACTTATTGATTTAATAATATGAAAATCTATTAGTTTCCTTCCTCCAGCTTTCTTTAAAAGAACCACATGTTACTTATTCCAAAAGTTACATAAGATTATTCAATTCATGCCCACTGATCCAAAATTCCAGCACAATTTTTTTGTAGGAATATGTAAATGTAGATATAAATCTTTTATTCATTTTTTTCTTTTTATAGATCCTGTGTTCATGATTATTTTTAATGACTACATAGGTTTATCTGCTTGGTAAAATAATGTTCTGTGACATGTGTAAGTAAATTAAGTAAGTAAATGTTAATCATTGTGCATATAGCTTTACATTTTTATTAAATTAGTTTCATTGTTTGGATTCCCAGGGTTTGGGCTACTGAATCAATAGTGGTTCTTTTTAAAGCAAGTTGAGGCAAGGAAATATTAAATATTAAATCAATAAATGTTGCAGTTTTTTATTTTGAAACAATAGAAATAACCAACTGGACACTTAAGGAAATAGGGAGATTATCACTTTTAAGGATATATGAAAATAGATACACAACAGCTTGTCTGTTTAGATTCAGGTATAATCAAAATCTTCCCATGAGCTGAGATAGTAAATGATTGATGCTTCTATTTCAGAAATGTACATTTTTCAACAGTTGGATAGAAGTGTATATAGGGTTCCCCTGGTGACCCTGGGGTTAACATCTTAGTGCTATCAAGGTATCGCCAGCCATGGAGCCAACCCACATGGCACAGCAGCAGCGTATTTCAGTAGATCTTCCTGTTCTGCTCCCACTCTGTCTCTGGTGGAGCCTCTCATCTCGCACCTCTTGCCTATACCCCAGTTTTTGTATGCATAAATAAATAAAATCTTGATTAAAAAAAAGAAGTGTATGTAATTCAAGAATCAAAAACTGTCAATAGAAGTGTTAAAATGGACTTTTCAATAACTGATGGCACTGTATATTGCCATAATATTTCAGCCTGGTAATATGTAACTACTAAATAAAACCATGGCTTATTTAAATAAAGCTTCTTATAATTTACAGTAGCAAGAAAATTGAAAGTTCAGATGCCCACAAAGACATAATGATTATGTAATCATTTTCCTTAGTGGGATTTTCTGCTGCCATTTAATAATAACTAATCTTTTAGGTGCATGTAAAATCAATACAAAAATAATGTTGGATCAGAAGAACACATTGTAGTTGTGTAAGTATAATGATGGTGATTAAAGATAGAAATAATAAAATACATGTTTTATGGTAAAAGTATTTGTACTCATAATTTTTATTTTTGTTTTTATTTTTTTTAGGATTTATTTAGTCATGCATAAAAGAGGTGGGGTACAGGCCAGAGGTGTGGGGGGTGAGAGGATCCATCAGACACAGAGTAGGGAACAGAACAGGCAGACTGAAATACACTGCTGAGGAGAGAAGTGGGTGAGACAGGAGAGGTCTGCTTCGCCATGTGGGTTTCTCTCTGGCCGGCCGGGGATTGCAGAGGCTGCGGATTGCTTCATAATGCAGTGCCCTTGCGCCACCAGGGAGGCCCTGTACTCTTAAATTTTTTGTTTTAGATTTGAGTCACAGCTTTTTGAAAATTGTTCAAATACTAGTTTGATCCATAAATATCTTTTGCATTTATTTGAATGTAGATACTAAACTGTTCCTTGCAAGTGCTGAATGGTGAATTTCTTTTTATCATTTTTGTAAAAAGAGCTACTCATCTTATTTTTAATAGCAAGATTTTCTGTGTATTGGTTATATCTCCTGGCATAATTGCGGTGTCAGTTAAATATTCTATTTCCAAACAGTTACCTGACCTTAAAGATGCTGAGGCTGTACAGAAATTCTTCCTCGAAGAAATACAGCTTGGTGAAGAGTTATTAGCACAAGGTAATAGTCATTGAAACTATATAGAATCATTAACTATATAGACTAGGAAACTATATAGAATTATTCACAATAATGTAAATTTATGGTAATAAGGAGCTTTTTTGGGTACAGTATGGCTAATTTTTTAGTGTTCTAAATATTTTGTCAGGTTTTATGTGGTTAATAATGTGATTATTTTACTTAGAAATAAATTTTTTGGATTGTTCATAATATATTTTGAGTAAGTTGTATTTCATACATGATTTGGAAAAGAAAATCTTTACAAATGAGATTACTTTTAAGTAGTTTAGAGAATATAGTCATAGTTTGATATGTAAATAATGACTGGAGGGATATGATCGAGGAATATTCTCCCTCAGCTATCTAATTTTCAGGTCTTAAATAAGACTAAATAAGTACTTATGGGAAGGAATGGCTAGTAAAAAGTATTTACCTGATCAGTGCATTATGTCACCTGATTTCAGAGTCTACCAGTGATCTAAATCTGACTCAGGTTAAATTTTATCAAGTGATGACTTGATAATCCTATTCTCATTGCTCATAATATCCTTAGTGTTAAGATATGTATGCGATTTGAGACATTTGTGGTTTTTTTTATGGGAAGAGAGTAAAAGTTTAAAATGGTGGTGGCCATCTTCTTAATGTGTCTTTTCCCAAGAAATTCCTTTATTCCCCCCGCCCCCCAAAAAAAAGTGATTGCCCTTTTTTGGATGGGATAGTAGGCTGATAATATAAATTAAAGTAGAAATGCTTTATTAGATTATACTTTGTAACTTCTCAATATAAATTTTAGGCTGAATCATTGGACAATAGTAAAGCACTTAAATCCACATAAGGATCATTTGGGAGGCTATAATTTATTACTTTAATATGAAATCTGCTAGTAGTGATATCTACTGATATAGATTGTCATATTTCAGTTAATGCAAATTTTCAAGTAATGTTTGTGTTCATGAAGATGTCCATTTGCTGCTAGCAAAGTTTTCTTCTAGTTCCCCAAAATAAAGTACTGTTTTGAATTATTTTACTTTAAGATATTAGAATATATTACACTCCTAAATGCTTACATTTGGGTTATCTTGGTTATCATGGTTATTTTGGTTATCTTGGTTATCATGCCCTGTGACTGTCAATCTGATTTAAGCTTTTGGATCCAAATTGATAAGGACAAGTATTTGTGGTGATAGGAGGAGGTCAAAGAGGGACAAGGAAGAGTTGTTTTTCCAAAGCTCATGTTCCACACAACAGCCCAACGTGGTCCGAGGGTTGCTTAACAACTCGTCATTCAAGCTGCCTTTTTATGGAAACTCTCAGCCCAACCAGAAGTAAAAGACATGGATGGTTAGAGTTAGGGGGGAAAGGTCAGTATCATCATAAGCAGTTTGGGCATTTAACTTAGTTGCTTGACAAGGACTCCTTTTATTTTTTAATGGATTCTATTTTTCTTTCTTCAATTTTTTTTTTTTTTTACATTATTATTTTGACAAGGACTTTCTTTATCCAGAGTCTCCCATATGCATATTCCATTAACAGAAAGATTTATCTTGGGATATGTAGACAGGATCAAATCTGCAAGTGCAGAATTGCTATGGCTGTTTACTGTGCCCAGTGTATTTAGATGTAGTAGAAAGTGTCTCATAATCCCTGTGTTCTACCCATGCAACTCCAATAACAGCAATATTTCCATTTATTAATCAGAATTAACATCCCCAGACAACAATGTAATTCATTCCCTCTATGGCCTGTAAAATCAGTGGCTAAGTAGCACTGTAACTTCCAAGTCATTGGAGCCATTGAGTCCCTTGATGGAAGTCCAAGTTCATGCAGAAGACCAAATGTCTTATATTTTAGTTTTCCATTTTAAAACTTTCTTTGTAAAGTTCTGATTTCTTCAGTTTGAATACCTCAGCGTTAAAATTTTTTCAAGTACTAACCATCAGTCCCTCATTTGATCACATTCTTATTCAGGGTAGGAAAACCTTTTTGTGTTTTCTGCTTCATTATAAAAAATAAGATTTCCATTAAGAGCAGCCAGATTAAAGAGCTGTATTGGACAAAGTTTATAGGTGGGTAGGGTGAGGAGCAGCTTCTGTGTCTTATCTGGGCATGCCAGCCTATCAGCACCTGCAGAACAGGCAGGCGGACCAAAATATACTGCTGAGGGGAGCAGTGGGCGAGACAGGAGAGGTCTGCTGCGCCATGTGGGTATCTCCACAGCCGGCCAGTATCGAAGCCACGCTGCAGAGGCTGCAGACAGCTCCACAGTGCTGCGCTCTACCGCCTGCGCCACCTGGGAGGCCCTTGCACAATATTTTTGATCGACATCACTTGGAGATATAGTTGAAGACTTCAAAGCTGAATTTTTGATAAAGGTGAAGACTTTTCAGGTTGCATGTTAATTTAAATCTTCCAGGTGAATATGAGAAGGGTGTAGACCATCTGACAAATGCAATTGCTGTGTGTGGACAGCCACAGCAGTTACTGCAAGTGTTACAGCAAACTCTTCCACCACCAGTGTTCCAGATGCTTCTGACTAAGCTTCCAACAATTAGTCAGGTAAGCATTTGAAATGTTAAAGATAAGAGCGAGTAGAATCTGATAAATATTTTAAGGACATTGGAACTTTAAAATGAGTGTAATGTGCATGATAAAGTAAGGAGACTCATAATGAAAATGGTACTGGAAATACCAGTTCTCAAGATTTTCTTCCCTAGTAGGAAAGCATCCAAATGAGTGGGCATAAGCTCTAGCTTTGGATCAGGAAGTGTGTTTCAGCCTTTGGTCACTCAGCTCCTTTCTAAAACTGCCTGCCTGCTTTTTTGTGGGACCATGCTTTTTATGCCAAGGTGGGCTTTGAGTTTAGAACTATTTCACTATATTCCTATTGAATAGTATAAAATACTACTGTATGAAAGATTATGTATAACAAGAGTAAATTAAAACAGATTCTGTTGATTTTTGATCCTTTCCAAGAAGCCAAACTAAATCTGCTTTTCGGAATAGTTTATCTGTTGCATATATTAATTTCTGTGGGTGGTATGGTTAAAAATTGGTAAAATGACTGGCCAGTTAATGCTTCCAGTTGATCTTTATTCAGCTGGATTGGAAAGAGAACATTTCCAAAGGTTTCAGAAGAGTTGAAAAAATAAGGATTTAGTATAAATCTTATTTTATTTCTACTAATGTGGGTTCCTGTCTGTATCAGAAACCTCTCTAATATTAATAATCCTCTGCTTGATGAATCTGCTCTTTGAATGGTAGCATAGCATAGTGCTTTCAGAAAATTAACCTGAGAGGACGTCTTTTGAAATAGGGAAAAGTTACGAATGAAGCTTGAATTTCTTTATGAAAATGGCTTCCTCTTCAAAGTTAAGGTACACCTTTCATCTGGAAAAATTTTTTTAAAAGCTGGTTTTAGGATATTGTATTCCTTTGTATAATGACTGACCATTTACAGGTCAAAGACAAATGATTATAGTTTAGAATGATCGATGAAACACTAATTAGTATTTTTAGTTTTTTTGTGGGAGTGAAAAGATCTTATTTTATATTATTGACTACTATGTAGCACATATTATATGCCTCCTTTATTTTAATTTTGAAATAGGGACTGAGTGTATGATCATTATTTTCTTAGTTAACAGTTTATAAAGTATTTAAATGTTGAGGTAAGTTTCACAATGGGTAAATTTTAGCAAGATTTGATTTTTTGAGAACAAAGCATATTGAACTTAGAATACTGATTAAATGCCTATTTTTTAAATTGAAATTTTTTTCTCTTCCAGAGAATTGTAAGTGCTCAGAGCTTGGCTGAAGATGATGTGGAATGAGAAACAAATGTCAACATAATAATCTCAATTAAAAATATTTTTAAAATCTTAACTTGGAAAGTGAACAGCTCTGGGGGAATAAGGGCAAATATGCTTGTTCTGGACTGTCCTACACTGAAATCTACCAAAGTTAATTTTTACTTTGTGTAGAGCCATTTGTTTTATTTATTTTTCCCAGTGAAAAGTGTATTTGTTAGGAAGCTTTTCATTTTATAAATACACTATGCGTTACTGAAATGGATTTTGTTCATCCCTAAAACATAATTAAAATGTACATATAACATCACATTGCTTACATTGAAAAGACCCAGGGCTCAGTTTTAAAAATGGTGAAGTATAGGAGAAAGCTGAAGAATGCACATTTTTTAAGCTTATAAATTTTGCTGTATATCTGAAAAATGGATGGGAACCTGTGTGTTTATCAGAACTGAGTATTAAAATTTTTGAGATGGTTTCTACCACTTAATCTCTTTAAAATATGAGATGTGCTGCTGTGCTGTGTTAACAACAACACCCCCATCCTGTGTATCAGTCTTGAGATGTTTTGTTTAAATCAGTGGGCTTAATGTGTCTTGGATATTTATCTCCTTGTATTTTAGATATATGTAGTTTTCAGGTAGCGCCGAGAATTAGATCTCGTACACTCCTAATCTAGCCATGTGCGCTTCGTCAGTTAATGTCTACTCACCTACTCATTTATAAAATGACGAAATTGGTCTGCCCCTTTTACCTTTAATTCATTTGGTTCTGTTCAACATCTTCTCATCCACCCATCTCCTAAGGGGTTTATTTGTTTGGGCAACCAGGCCTTGCATTTTTTTATACTCTGAATTTTGCATGCTTGCCTGACTTAATGTTTCCTAATTGATTTTTATTTTAAGGTATAACATACTGATTTTCACTGAAATCAACTGTTTGTAAATTAATCTAAAACTTAACCTTTAAGTTAACTGGATGATAATGCTTGTAAAAATGTTCCCCTTTGCTTTTATCTTCAATGTACCTCCCTGATCCGCCTTCAATCTGATTTATCTTGCTTTGATGAGACTGAGATGTAACCTTGTGGCTGAAGCAAAGAATGGAGGTAACTTATTCTCAAAATAGTGAAATATAAACTGCAGTCACAGATTGAATATCAGATCTGAGAATAAAGGTCTTTGGTAATTAGTATCATCTTTTGACTTGAGCAGCATTTCTCATTGTCCACGTTGCCTTTCTTCTCTTTAAAAATTTGTGGAGACTCCCAAAGACTTGTATTGACATACAGCCTTTTCCTAACCTTAACCTTGGATTTCTGTAGTAATTGTGTAGTGGAAAGAGTTCAGAAAGTTCTAGTTTTTGCCTCCGGATAGCTGCACAGCCTTTAGCAAGTCACATGACATTTCTGCACTTACCTCCAGTATTCTCATCTATAAAATTAGAACATCAGAGTAGGAGACACATCAAAGGACTTCCTCAGGTACCTTCCAAGCTTGTGTTCCTAAAACCTTAAGCAGTGTGGTTTTATTTTTTGTTTGTTTTTAATGATGCCCTGCATGTTTTTTGGGTGTGGGATAACTAGTACAAACATGCCATGGGGTTACCTTTACTAATAGTATCCCAAATCCATAGCAGTGCGATAATTGATTGGTGATTGACCATGCAACTAGAAAACAGTCCTGCACTTTCCAGAACACTAGCTTTGTAAAATTACACCAGTGACAGTTGGGGAAGCTGGGGAAAAGTCCGGGGGTAGACAGCTCAGCAAAAGAATAGTCCCAGTAAAAACTAAGGGCTGGCTGAGGAATAAGGGTCAACGTAGGCTGGGGGGGAGGTTATCAAGTCAGCTGGGCATCAATTGGCTTTCTGAAAAATAATTGTCTTTGTTGTAGTAATATTGAAAAGGCAGTGTTATCTGCCCTTTAGAACTAATTAAGCTAAGCATACTTTGTTTAAATGATGGCTTTGGTACTTTAGGTGCCTCTTTAGGAAGCTATTAAGAGTTACCAAAAAACCAGAAAGAAACCCAGCAGAAACAATTGCTGAACACTGTTTCCTGGCTGAAGTTTTTACAGGGTGGTGAAACCAGGCAGTTGTGATGCTATCTAAATGGGGTTTAACCCAATATTTAAATAGTGATAACATGAATAAAATCTTTGGGAATGGAGGTATGTATTTGTGTGTATAGCATACTTGTTTGAGTAAAGGTCTGTTGTTTGGATCCACCATCTGTATTTATAAAGTGAAAGCATTTAAAACAGGCTCACCTGGTGGTAGCAATGGTATTCATTTAATAGATAACTAGAACTTACATTGCATTCCCTTACCCCCAGGGTACTATTTTTACCATCTTCCTGCCTTTCTGACTGTATTAAATCAACCTATGGACCAGAGTATTAGTGAAATGTCACTGCATCACAGATATAAAGAAAATTGATAGATCGTGCAGATAGAATTTTCTTGTAACTTAAAAAATGCAATTTTATTATTGCTTTTGTGCCTCAACTGTTTAAGTGAAGATTATTAAAGGGCTTGGAGAAAATTTTGTCTTGGTGTGTATTTGCAGAAGTGAATGCTAAACGTTTGTGACTAATACTAACAGTTTCTAGGTTAACATCATTTTGAGACTTGGAATGCAACCTCTCCCCAGGAAAGTATATATTTGCTTTTGACTTCAGGGGATTCACGTATCCCCGGCTAAGAACCCTTGCTTTAATGTCAACAGTTGAGGATTCTGTGGCATAGAGATTATTCTACTTTAGCATGTAACAGAATTATCTAGAAGTGTTAAGGCAGTAAATCCACCTGTTCTGCTCCCCACTCTGCAGCAGGTCTGGGCCGGGAAGAAGAACACCAAGTTTCCAGGTCATGGTGATGCTTTTGGTCCTGAGTCACAGCATAGGTTTGACAGACACTCCAGTGATGTGGAAAACATGAACAGGAAATTCTTACAAGAGAACACTAGCTGTGTAAAGTTGCAGGTGAACTTCAGCACTCTAACCATGCGATGAGATTACAAACCAACTGATAGCAGAATGTGATTATCTAAGAACATCTAGGATGGTTGATCTGAAGCATAAAGACCTTCCATTATCTGTCTCCAAGATAGTTAATTTCAATGCATTCTAGGACGGGGCCTCCCTGGTGGCGCATGGGTTAAGACAGCGCTATCAAACTAGCACCAGTGACTGCGACATGAGTTCGATCCCCTGCCAGGGAGCTAACCCACATGGAGCAGCAGACCTCTGCTTGCCCACTGCTCCCCTCAGCAGTGTATTTCAGTAAATTCACCTGCTCTGCTCCCTACTCTGCTGAATCCTCTCGCCTCCCACACCTCTGGCCTACACCCCAGTTCTTGTGTGCATAAATAAATGTGTTGTAGGAAATTTCAGAAACTAGCCCATCAGGCAAGTCAATTTAGCAGAAATTACATTCCTTATTAAACATTTATAGTTGAATTTATAAGTAAATACACTGAGTATATAATTTAAATACCTATGTAAATATGACTTTCTTTTCATCTTTTAAAGGCTGAAACTAATGGACACAATCCAGGAGGCACTGTGGAAATCATAAGTCCTTGTTTAATCTTAAATGCTTGTTTAATTTCCATTAATGTTAATAAGGGAATCAAATATTTTGACATAGTATTGATAAAGAAGCTAGAGGTGAGAGTTGAAGGGAAGGGAAATGAGGAAGGGATGCTGTTTTTAACTTGGAACTTGATTGATCTGAAAAAAGCAGTACCTAGTGTTCAGCACAGTGTCTTCATGTGTCATGTGCTGCCAGCATGTCATCTGCACATTCAGGGAAAACGACTGGATCCCATTGGAACTTGCTGAGATCTTACAGTCCATGAGGCCCTGCCTTTTCTTTGATGCATAGGAAATAGACTGAACTGAGCTGGCCTTTGAGTTTGTTCCTCGATGGAGTGGTCATCTTTGAAGTTCTAAAGCCAGAACCTGTCTCACTTTACCCAGAGTAACACACAAGACTAGTCCTCAAATTGTTGATTCAGTGATCAATGGGCAATTCTCACCTGTGCCATTTCTTGCCCTAGTCAGCTTTTGGAAGAGGCTTGTGGTCTTCAGCAGAGATGGATTCTTTCATAAAGCAATTATGAAGAAATGCTCTTGTTAGTGTTTCAGAAAGAGTAGATCTCTAACTGTTAAGATTAGAATGATGATCTCTAAGCCAGGACAGCAGCAACACCCCCCCCCCCATTTCTGCTTCTAACTGCTTGTTTTTACAAGCATTCATTTAGAGAGGGTGAAGCTATGGGCACTGGCAACTCCAGGCCTATATAAATGACAGTAATATCTGTTGGGCTCTATAATGTGTTCTCACTGACACCTCACGGTCCTATAACTTAACTTGGGAAGAAACCTGCCCAATGTTGCATGAGAAATGGAGATTCAGTGTCTTATCTTTCCAGCTTTATTGTATGATTTACAAATAAAAATTGTATATATTTATACTGAACAATGTGAAGTTCTGATGCAAGTATACATTGCTAAATGATTATAATCCATTACCTCAAGTCACTTTTGGCGTGTGTGTGCATTGAGAATACTTAAGATCTACTCTGCAAATTTCAAGTTTACAGTAAATCATTAACTAGTTAATATGCTTTACAGGTTTCTAGGACTTACTCATAACTGAAAGTTTATACCTTTTGACCAGCATCCACCCATTTCCCTGACCCCTTCGCTCCTGGTAACTACCATTCTACTCTGTTTCTGTGAGTTTTTTTTTTTTTTAGGTTGCACATAAAAGAGATGCAGTATTTGTCTTGTTTCGCTTTATAATGTCTTATAGGAGGTTCATTCATGTCAAAAACAGCAAAATTTTCTCTTTAAGGATGAATATTCCTGTGTGTGTAATCACACTACTCATTTACAGTCACTTGGGTTGTTTCCATATCTTTATTGAGTAATAATGCAAAAGAGGCATATATCAGATATTTGAGAGAGTGATTTCACTTCTTTGGACATACATCTATCAGTGGAATTGCTAGTCAGGTAGTCTTGATAGTTTTTTGAGGACATCCATACTGTTTTCCATAATGGCTATTCCAATTTACATTCTTAGCAGTGTGCAAGAGCTCCTTTTTCTACAAATCCTTACAAACCCATCTCTTGACTTTTTGATAATACCCATTCTAAAAGGTGTAAGATGTGGTTTTGATTTGCATTTCCCTAGTGTTTACTGATACTGCACATTTTCATATACTTGGCTATTCATATGTTCTTTGGGAAAATGTTCAGGGTTCCCTATCTTTAAATAGGGATCTGTGGGGTTTTTCTATTTATTTTTTTTTTTAAATTCTTTTTTTTTTTTTTTTTTT